TGTTGAGTTCTACCTGCTTAGTTTAGGTCGCTTCTTCTTCCTTAATGTCAACAATTGAGTCCAATAAAATTGTAATTCAGAGCAGGGCGAGTGTTTATGTATTGATCTGAAAATATGATAGTTGTAACTCATGTCTAAACGTGTACATATTATTCGTGTGTTATCATACTGTAATTTAAAAATGCTGGGCGAGAACTTGATTTGTCAAATGTTTGTTGAACTTAGTTTATTTGCTTCACAAACTTGGGCCTAAGCTGGCCCTGTCGCACCAATACTGCTTTGTAAATACACAGGCCCGCCTTAAGCCATTCAATTCCGCTGGACTGAGGGCACGCGCAGACCTGGCCCAGGTCCTTGTTTAAGTGAAGTCCAACATTCAAAAATCCCACCTCACCTATTTAAACTGGGAGTGGGGGCTTGAGCTTCTTTTGGAATACTTTCAAATAATAATGGGCTTGCTAACCAATTAACTAGGATTTAGAGACGGTGCTTAATAGCAAATCATAGTCTTCTTTAGATTGGCCTTTAAACTAAAACGAGATGAGCCTCGCTAAACAAAACAAACAAATGGCAGGGCCCTCGATAAATGCTTATGTTAAAAATACTTAGACTTCGGGATGGGCCGTTTAGTGAATTTCACGGCCTTTCCCAAAGATAATAACACGTTAGTCGCTTTAGGCGCGTTTATAATAATACTACTTTCCTAAACTCGGGTGCACATTTATGTGACCAAAATCCAAATTCCAACGGAGTCGAAATGTGTTGACAACCACGGGTGCACTGGTGTGACGTGGTTCGAGATACATTTTCACGACGTTGCAATTCTTATTGAAATAACAATAAAAGCAGTTTGCTAATAAATGGCACCTAAGTTAGAACATGTTTTGGAATCAGATAAAATCAAATATGACAATTAAGCGACCGTGCTAGAACCACGGAACCCGGGAATGCCTAACACCTTCTCCCGGGTTAACAGAATTCCTTACCTGGATTTCTGGTTCGCGGACTGATAACAGAATCATAATTTCCTCGGGTCGGGATTCAACTGGTGACTTGGGACACCCTTAATCTCCCAAGTGGCGACTCTGAAATCTTAATAATAAATCCTGTTTCGATTGTCCTTTAAGTGGAAAAACTCCTTTATGCCCTGTCGGGTATAGGTAAAAGGAGGTGTGACAATTCATTTTGTGTATATTCTACTAGTTGCCCGTAGCTTGTGACACCAGGTTCTGGCACACACAGTAGTAGACGTTATTTTGGGTTGTAAAAACTATCTTTACATTTTATCGATCCTTACTGGTTTATGACTTTAATTGGGGAAAAAATCTATTATAATGGTTTTTGGTAAGGGTAACATGAGAATTTAATTATACTTCCACGTTGGCTGGCCTGACAAATGGTGTCGGGCGCCATCATGACCTATTATGGAAAATGGGTCGTGACATTATTGATGATCGATGTGGCCTCATTGGTCTGAGATATAAATTGCTAAAATATGAAAATAAATTGGAAATCTCCTGCAAACAAAAAGAATTATTTACCTGCTTCATGTTATTGAGTTTATAGTCGTCTTATAAAAACCATAATTTATCATATTATCGATATATTATTGTTGGCCATAGTAAGTGTCGGAGTTGACCTCTCATCACTACTTCTTCGAGATTAGACTGGATACTTACTGGGTACGCGTTGTTTTCGTACTCATACTACACTTGCTGTACATTCTGTTGTATAAGAACATGCATGGCTAGTGGTCTAGTGGACGCAGCGGCATGGTTGACAACAGAATTTAGGTGAGCTGCATCTTATGTACGATCATCAGCCAGCAGAGTCTCCTTCAGAGTATTTGTATTTTCTTTTCTGTCCAAATTTGTATTTCGAACAGTTATTGTATTTTATTTTATTTCCTAGTAAATGCTCATGCACTTGTGACACCGTGTTCTGGGATGATTATGGGATATTTAGTATTGAAATTGGAAAACGTTATTATTATTCTATAAAGTTCTTCTTTTATTAGTTAAATTGAAGGAATTTTATGATTTCAGGAATATTAAAATGAGAATTTATTTAACTATTTAGTATTATCTTGCCTGACAGTGGTGTCCGACGTCATCACGACCTTTAATGGATTTTGAATCGTGACACAACATATCTTAAGCTTGAAATTATAACTAAAGAGAAAAATTCTTCATGTGTTTTCGTTAATTATTTCTAGTGAATTTTGTGTTTAGAATGCTAAAATATAGCTTTCAAATATGTTGATATCACACTACACAATTCTCAAAATTTTAACCACAATACATACTATTAAAAATAGATGTATGTATTTTAAACTAAAATAGAAAAACATGCGATGTAATTTCTAAGGTGTCTCGGCAAAAACTTATGAACGAAATTCAAAACTAATTTACTTGCCAACAAGAGGGATGTACAATAATTTACGGAGAGGTTCCTGAATAGATTGGCTATTCATGCAATGACAACGACCAGAGGCATCAATTAGCAAAATAAAACATCTACTTACCTTTTCTTTTCCTTGGATATGAAAAGTGCTCACAGTTGCGACTAAAGTTTTGTTACTTATGCAAATTATACTAGGAATTGGCGAGTTAGTAATATTAGAGCCTACGTGCTAATAACGTGTTATGAAAATAAAAGCAATTTAGTAAATAATATATAGAGATAGAAAGAAAGAGGAGTTTTCCCTCTTCAATTGTATGCATTTACCCATCTATTACAAAGCCTTTATATAGGCATGAAAAGTGAAGAATCACTATTATAAAATACTGGTAGGAATGGACGCTAAAATAGTGTGTGTGACTACACATTAAATGATGGGGGAGATTATGGAATTACAATCATAATTCCATAAGTATTAGAGTAGTGAAAGTTATGGAGATAATGGAGAAGAGCAGGGAGCATTACTCCTTTAGTGGTTATGGACATCCTCCATAATTCAATATTTTATAACAAATGTTTAAATCTACTATTTTTTCTAATTAGAGGCTTAATTAGTGAACAATAAAGGAAAAATAAAACAGAAAAAGATCTCTTTAATTATATTATTACCATAGCTTGTTTACATTAGTACACTTTATTATTGATGTTGTACTTTGTGTTGCATGCCTAGATTGTCTTTACTTTATATTGTTGAGCTATTTTACGGCTTCCCTAATTTGCAAAATTGACACTACAAGCTTAGAGGACAAAATAAAAGTTGGTGAAATGTTAAGATTTTTAACATATAAGTTTGACTAATTTCTTGGTGAAATTATAAGTTTTATCCGCGAACAACTCACGAGTACTTTTTAATTGAAAATTACAAATTTACATTTTTAAGTTTCTACTTTCTTTTCACCTATCATATTAATTATTTATCAAAATTTTCTTTGGTTGAATAATAGCTTGTTTGGCCAAGCTTTTTTTTGGGCCAAAAGTGCTTTTTTTGACCAAAAGTGCTTTTGGCTAAAAGTTGAGGTGTTTGGCCAAGCAAAAACAAGGAAAAAAAGTGCTTTTGAGGAGAAGCAAAAGCAGTTTTTGAGAAGCAGAAAAATGTGGCTTCTCTCCAAAAGCACTTTTCTGAGAAGCGCTTTTGAGAAAAATACACTTAGAAGCAGTTTTCAAAAGCTTGGCCAAACACTAATTACAGCTCAAAAGTGCTTTTCAAATTAATTAGCTAAACACAAACTGATTCTCGCCAAAAGTACTTTTTTAAAAAGCACTTTTGAAAAAAACACTTCTCAAAATAAGCAGATTTTAGAAGCTTGGCTAAACATGCTATAACTCAAGATATGGTGAATCCAAAACTGCAAGATTTTTAATAAAAAAGTTTTTTAGGAAAGAATATACATAATAATTTAATAATACAATGAAAAAGATCTTTTTCTATTTTATTTTTGTTTTATTATCCACCACTTAAGCCTTTAATTAGGAAAAAGTGTAGACTTAAATATTACCTTTTTAGCTTATATTTTAAAATAATTAAATAAGAACATGAGTCTATTTGTCATGAAATAAACTAGACTCATATAAGTAAGATTGATTATGTGACTCACATAATAAAATTTCTCGGAACAAGTGCACTTGTATGTTGCGAGAAAAAGATTAAAGATCTTTCGTTATTTCTTTCATATACAGTCATACTATTCTGTAACAACATCGTTCGTTCTGATATTTTTTTATTTTTATCGTAAATGATTATTATATACCTACAATAATATTTAATATTTAAATATCTTTTAGCTGTTATATACAAAACTTGTTCAATGAAAAATAATAAATGCAGATTTTTAGAATTATTATTAACCTTAATTGCTATACAAAGCTGTTGTAGAGGTAAAATATAATTTAAAAAATCAGAAAACTTGACTTTTTAGGGAATAACTGTTTACTGTATATTAGATACCGTGTAGCGTTTGGTCGGGGCTTTAGAAGATTTATAATTCCCAAAGGTTTTAAGAGCATTGCCCTTTTTGCTGGTGCTAAGATTTGCTCCTTTTTCCCTTTCTGGTAAGCTTTCTCCAACTTCTGTTTCATTATTTCTGGGTTCCTTGGCTAGCGTTTGGCCATAGATCTCAAATTTATTTTGAAAAATCTGATTTGGGTAAAGTTTGGTTTGAAGATGAAAATGTGTTTGGACATACGCTTTCAAAATATATTTTCCAACTTTATTTTGGAAAAACATGTATATAATTCTCAAGTTTTGGGGTTTTGGCCCAAAATCAACTCAATAGCTGATTTTGGGATTTGAAATTTGGGATTTGGGATTTGGCCAAAATATGAGCAAAATTTATGGCCAAACATGAGTTTTGAAACTAAATCCCAAATTTATTTTGGGAAAACTTATGGCCAAACGGGGCCTTAATGTAAGTGGATTTGCCTCTTGAATTTCTTCGTGGTTCTATGTGATTTCTTTTATTTGTTTCTGTCCTTTTTTAAAAAAAATTTTAATTTCGTCCATAGCATTTGAGTGTGCAATTTTTGTTTTTCCATTTAGAATGGCATTATTTTTCATCAATTTTCTTTTAGTTATTGACCTTTGAATCTCTACCTTGACTAACAGAGTGCACTTAACTGTTCAATAGGTACAAAAAAGGATGATCATTTTTGGTCCAATATTTTCGTTTTGTACAATTCTCTTCAAGTTTTGTGGAGCGAAAGAAATTAGTTTTCATAATTTGAATGTCGAATCAAAGCAATTAGTTTTTGAAGTCCTACTGGAAAAGGTGAAATTTCACATTGTGCTTTGTCACTGATATTACATATACAGGATCATAATGATTTTCATGCCAATAGAAATTGTCCCCTGCTTCACTGTATAGTCACAAGTGCAAAGTGGCAAGCTCTTTTGTCCACACTCAAGAAAGTTGAGCTTTCTATCAGTCAGCCTAATTTTGCAATATATATTTTGTGCAATCTTATGTTTTAGCTGTTGGACTGTTTGATTTTCCTTTGCCTTTTTTCTTGTAACTTGTTCTGATTTAAGTTGAAGAGCATATATAGTAGATGAAACGATTGAGTGCTGTATCACATATCCGTCCTAAACTAAATATAGTTGCTTGATTAGCAGAGCTTCACTTCATATGATTTTCTGTCAATGCACATATTTTTTGAAAAAACAGTTAAACGTGTTGGTTTGATGGTAAGTAATAATTGAAATAACTGCTACAATACCGACTTTGAGATCTCATGTTCTTTCGTGTGAATGTAAACTTGTTTACCTTTCGTTTTCTTTCTTTGCTCGTGGTTGGGATAAGAGATCAATATACTATGACAACCTTTCTTTTAACTTTCTTGAGATTAGACCTTGTACTCCGGACCACCAGTCAAATACTATGTGCTTAGCACGGGCTGCGGCTCATCTAGTACAATTACAAGAATGAGGTTGAATCATAATAAGTGAGAGTCTGTCTGTTGTGAGTGCCAATCTGTACTAAGAACCTAAACGTACTATCCTAGTAGCTCATAGTAACCCATTGTCACAACGTTTTAGGGGGTTGGGTGGAGGAGCATGGGCTGGGGAAAAAGAGGGTTGGCCTAGGGGCATCTCAATAGAATAGGTGGCCTTAAGCCAAATCTGAATAACATGCCTTAAAACTTTTATATATATATATATATATATATATATATATATATATATATATATATATATACACGAGGTTCGCTAACCTACTACATGGCTCTAGTAGATTAGCATTGGACCTGCTTTTTATTTATCCAACGAAAGTGTAACTTTTCTTGGAAGAACTTCTAGAAGGCAACACCTTGAGCAACAAACTAGTTCTGTTGCAAAAGTGTTGGGAGGAAATATTTTACAAGGTTCTAAGTCACCACAGATCCAAGATACAATAATAATAGGAGCAGTCTAAATATAATTTTAACCCTTTGTTAAGCAGCAGAAGTCATTTTTAATGGGCGAAAACCATGATCAAGACTAGCTTTCCACGCTTTCTCAATATCAAGCATCATGTCACCACATTCATGCTCATTCCAACCTTCCAATGCATGCAAAATTCCAGCTATTCTCCAGGCACTCATCACTCTTCTTGGCAGCCAATTCTAGAATTAGAACAATATCACTTATGAATTTCTTTTGTTATTTACGCACAATCAAATTAGTATAGAGAAATTAAGTAAATTAAATGATCTTTTCCAACCTCACAAGAGTCTACATTTTCAAGATGTTTTGGAGTAATCATGGCTGGTGTGTGGAAGTAGAAGCAATTCTTGCGAGCTTTTCTTGGTGGAAATTGTGAAAAAGGAATATATAATGTTCCTTTTGGAGCTTTCAGTTGTTCGTCTTCACTCAATCCATCATCTACTAGCCATATCTGCAATATAATACTTCAATCAAGAACCTTCATTTAAATGTATAGGCAGGAGACAGGAGATGTGGGGGAGGATTCTTTTCTATATTGAACTTTCTAAAATCCGGAATTGTTCGAAGCTCGACATAATGACAAAACTTTGCGTTAGGAGAGGGAGGGGGGAAATGAAAGGAATTGTTATAAATCATCAAGATTTAGGTTAGTATTTTTCAATGTATTTTGGTTTATACCTTTGATAAATAGGTCTTTGACTTGACCAAATTAGTTGCAGCCTCAGGGGTAACCTTTGCTTTAAGTCTCTTGTACTCTTCTTCATCTAACATGATAACCTAGATATACCAATTGTAATGAATGAGAAAAAGGGAAACCGAGGTGATGGAGAAGATTAATAGTCAGAGATACCTGAATTCCTCTTTGGCACAAGACAAGGGCGATGGAGCAAGAAACTTTGGACAAACGACCTCTAAGGACCACTTGCGAAGTTCCTTTAGGAATGGAGTTTAGGACCACAGCAACAACTAGACTACTTCCATCAACCACCTTCACTTTCAACTGAGGATTTTTCCTTATGTAAAGTTCACCATTATTGTTCAGCTGCTCTTCCTGCTTGAACGTTGAATTTGTGTATTATTGCAAGTATAAACTGGAACCCTCTTTCGTCCAGCCAACAAATTAAACATTGGATATAGGGTGATGGGAGAATTCTTCTTAATTCATTTTCTCCGTAATAGTGAATATCTGCCAGAGCTAACATAATTTTTTTTCTCAAGAAAATTGCATTTTAGGTAGAGATCATCCATTTTTCTTATATATCATATAAAGTAAGGATGAGAATTATTTGATTTTCTATAGTTTTACTTACCTGATTTAGGAGTCCAAGGCTCAAAACTTTTATGCCTTTCTGATCAGCTTCCACGATGGCTTCCTCAATCAAATTGTTAATAGTATCTCTTTGCCCTTGCATAAAGTACTGAACAAAATAAAAAATTAGGCAAGTCTCTTTGACAATCCAGAACATATAACTAGTCATGATTAACAATAAGTTCTTACTTGTTTCCTGTACTTTAGGATAGCCCAAGTTTGTAGTTTAAGATTCCTGAATAAATTTCTCTCGACAACAAATGTTTGACCATAAATCCAAGTAATAAAAAATGACCATAGCGTAACAGGCCACATTAACAAGATATACCACTTGGAAGCGTGGGGCTTCGAGGCCAAGGATGCAAACCCTAATCTGAGATGGTAGATAGATTCTGGGGTTGTTAGATGTGTTAGGTGCACCACGTCAGGTAATTCAGCTTTCCTCTCAAGTGACTTTTCATACAATGTATCTAATGACGTGTCCACTGTACCATACAGATAGTCATACATTGGCACGAAAAGCGAATAATTTGTTCTAAATTGAGTGTGATGTAGTGAGTGGAACCTGTGCCATCAAAGAATTGACATTAGTGGTAAAAAAGTAAAACTAAATTCAGGTATACTATTCTGTTTAGTCGGTAGGAAAAAATACATTTTAAAGAAGACTTCTATTTCCATTTTTCCCTTTATTTCCCTGGTGAACAAAAGTTAGAAGCAAATACAAAATTTCTGTTTACTGAGACCTCTAACTTTGGCTCTACCCAAGTTGTATCTATCTTGTCACTTTTAATTAAACTGCTCTGCTACCTTGTAGATATGCATGACGAATTACATCTTTTTTTTTTTTTTTTTTTTTTTTTTTCGTCCTCGTCGTACCTTACGTTAGTAGTATAGTGACTATAGAACGTAATACTATTTTCTTTTTTTTTTTTTTTTTTTTTGTTGAGAAGGACATGACAAATTACATCTTGGGTCCCCTGAATATGAAGAAACAATAATGTTCTGGAAGTGAAAAAAGTGAAAAGTTATAACTATGCATATAGTATCTTTGTTGTAGATTCTGTTTCTAAGGAGATTCTTGGGGGGGCTGTGCATTTGAACCTTTTACGTTGCACTTTTCCTTCAAATGAGCTAGGTTTTTGTGTTTACATACTTGATTTGACTGTTTCCTGATGATCAGTCATCTCCAAGCCAAACTTCCAAACAACATTTTGTGGTCAATGAACTTACCATTTTAACAGTAAATCATCTTAATTGGTAGGTTTTGCGATTATAGTGGTAAAGTTTAGTAACTTTACTGCTATAGTGGGTAAATCTCAATTACGTTAATGTGACAAAAAAGTTATGTGACTTTTGTTATAGTTGGTAAAATTTCGTTGCTTTAGTGTTATAGCGGGTAAAGTTTCAATTACTTTAGTGCGATAAAAAATAATTTTCTAACTTTACCATTATTATGGATAAAGTACGTGAAGTTAATCCTTAAAACAACAACATACCCAGTATTATCCCATACTGTGCCCTACCTTGCGAGGATAGAGAGGATGTTTCCTATAGACCCTCGGAAGTTAATCCTTAAAAGTTTCTAGTAAATTCCCTTTTTACTTGGAGTAGTCTAGAATACTATTTCTTCACCCAATTAATTTCCTATGATATTTCAAATCACTTTTAGAGATAGTTATTGTAAATGAAAGTTGATTATGAAACCAAAAGTATTTTGTGTATGATGCTAATGGATAGGCTAATTGTGATGCTAATTTTTGTTATATGTTTAGCTGTGTTACACAGAGATGTCCTCTCTACCTGCATGTAATTACCCCACTGCATATCACACAGCACAACATCAGTTTCTGCAATCATATTGTAAAGAGTTGGGAATGTCCAACTCTCTTTTATTTTTGAGAACGTTCAGTTTTATTACCCCTCATTCGTATTTTCACCTTTTGGGATGTTTATTTACATGGTAGCGTCCATACCAACCCCCCACCCCCAAAGGCGATTTAATTAAAAAAAAATTACAAAAAGAAACTACAGAATGAAAAAACACGTGGTTAGTAAAGTCTTGTCGAGGTAAACCAAAATTAAAGCATTGTTGATGCTGTAAATATAAAATTGAAATATAGGGGAAAAAGACTCACGTGGGCGTATACATCAAGTACTTGAGAGGGGGAAACATAGAGAACATCCACTTAGGAATGAGCTCAAAGTTGCAATGCCCCATATAGTTCATGAAATCAATATAGGTGGTGTAAACACCAAGTGAAGCTATAGAAGCAGTTCCAGTGAAAAGTGTTGTGGTCGCTGGTATAAGAAAGAGCGTTAAATATGCTACGATCTCAGCAAACGGATGAATGACAGCTGCCAAAATAAAAGAACTTTGCTTTGTAAGTCTTTGCATATAGGTAATTGATTGGCATTGAAATTAAACTGAGTCTAGCGGGAAGGTCTTTAACATGCAGAAAGCCATTCTGCAAAGTACTTATATTCTCATTCATCTCATTTTACTTGAGGTAGTTATTTGCTTAAGAATCTAAATCATATTTACTGACAGCATAAAGATTTTTCCACATTATGTGTGCAGATATTATTTTGTAGGTTACTATGTCAGGCTTAATATGGATTGTTGTAGGTCAACTTAACCTGATAGCTTAAAAAATATTTTCATTATCGGTGTACAGAACATAAGCTCCTTGTTTAAATATCTGATGTATTTTCTCCAAGACTGGTCGTTCTACCTCTGAAAACTACATCAAATAAAACAAATGATACAGAGCATTTCTGAAGACGACTTACAAGTGATGGGCTCAGTAACAATGGAGGAGTGATGATGTGAATGATAACGAGAGTAGAGAAAATGGTGGTGAAAAGCTCTATGAAGCCAGTAATAGAGAAACTCCACTGGACCGATATGCATCAAGGCAGTTATTATGATCCCATCAGTTCTCCACAAAGGCAAGTGATGAGTCTGTTGGAACTTCAGGTACGCAATGTAGAATACCAACCCATTAAGTATGATCTGATCATCCCTACAGAAAACACTTCAACCTTAAACAAATCATGTCATGTACTTTATTTGCATGTTCTTTTCGCTTGGTGGATTCCTTTCGGACACTATTAAAATCTAATTAGTACTATCCAAAGCATGGTTTAGACATGTGCAACCTAGTACATGATTCTGACTCCTGTAAGGTATAGCTTATCTTCTGACTGAAACTTTCCAATAACATATTCGGCTGGACAAAACCTAAATGCTGCATCATAAAATTTAGAGCTCAAAATGGCCTTAGTTTTAGCAGTTTTGGCCACCAGTGATATTCTCAGCTTTGGGCTTGGGTCCAGTTGGTCTTAAAAGACGTCACTAGGGTCTAAGACTTGCTTGCTTATATACCAACATCTCGTATGTGTTTTGCGGATGTGAGATTAGTCTAAATTGTTACATACACCACCCCTCTTAGGGATTCAACGTTGTTTATGTTTAACCCGCCATCATTTCGAAGATGTGGGATTCACCTAAACTCAGTTGGAGTTCTGCGCCACCACAACTCCCAATGTTGTGGGTTTTGCATAAACTCAACCGCGCACTAAGATTTGTCCCACCATCACCAAAAGTTGTAGGTAAAGTGGTTTTGATAACATTTGTAGCAGTCTAGCCTACTAATGGATACTGTCCGCTTTGAATCTAGGCCCAAATGGCCTTAAAACGTGTCATAAGGGTCTAATGATTGATTTGCCGATGTGGAATTTGCTCCGAGTTTATAGTGGTTTAAGTACGCGCTCCAAAATCAAACCTCTCTTAAAGAAGGGGCAGCTCATTGAAAGAACTTTTCTCATCTTTTACTTTCCTTTGGGAAGGAAGTGTGGGGTCCAGCCGGCCAGGGACAAGGACAGGTATGATAGTATATATATTTCACTTACTGCTACTGTGGAGTGGGTGAAAGAATGAAGGCTTGAGGGTGGGAAGTACATACCAGTTGCTTTCTCGATCAACTTGATCAAATTCAATGCTCTTGTCTAGAATCCGATTATTACCCTTAGCAGTCCTGTAGCGAGATAGAGATGTCCATATCTGGTTGTGAATCATTCTCGAGAGTAGATATGGGAGTATGAATATGTATGAGATGTCCCTTTGGCTTTCATCTTTGCTCATGATGAAAGAGTAAATGCTATGACCCACAAATGGTGCCAAAAGCAAGTACTTCATCCGAACAAATTATTTCAAAAATCAAAAGTAAAGAGTTTAGCGAAATTCTAGCTATAATAACTTCATGATATATTCAGCACAAAATCGTATCGAAAAAGAAATAGAAGGAAAAAAAGAATACAAAAGTTGAATGCATTAAGCTTGTCAATGCCGCCAATACTACATAAACGCAACCAGGATCTGAAAACATTAAAAGTTTTGCATGGAGCTAATTAGGTTGTTACTTTTTACCTTAAAAAGTAGAAGCTAGAAAAGGTAATATTTTATGAGTACAATGAGAATTTTATCAAAACAGCCAGCAAATTGTACAGCTTTTGAAAACACCAGATACTTATATTAATAAGAAAGAATTTTTCCTTAAATCTGTCAAATTTAGGTACTACTATATTATTATAATTGAAGCACTAAACGGAAGTCCTTTCCTTCCTTTCTCTTCTGGACAACCGTACATCATCCTCCCATGATAATATAGTACTTCCCCAACCCCCCCCCCCCCCAAAGAAATAGGGAAACTATAGGCTAAACAAAGTGAACACACACAATCTTCTTGTTCACTTTTATGTGGGACCGGAAATAACTCAATGCAAGATCATAGTACTGATGCATCAATCGAGGAATATGTGTTCCAACAGCAAAAAAAAGAAAAAAAGAATGAGATGTATGTAACTCAGTACTGACATAACTTCTAAAAGACACCTCATTTTAAATACGCGCTTTTGAATATACTTTAAACATAACATGTTTTGACTGCAAAACAAAGGGGAAAAAATAAGTTGGGAATTCAAGAAGGAGTACCTTGAATTTCCGAAGGTGTGCCCATGGCCACTCTGTGAGAATGCCAGGTTTAGTAGCCATTGTTTTGTTCCTTCAACACAAATCTTGAGAAACTAGGTACTTAGTTGTAGCTTTGCCCCACTCGTTGTTCTCTAAAAGCCTTTGCTTCCACCACTTTATATAAAATTCGCTACTATATAGGTAACCACAATCTGTACCGTGTCATTAATTAGCAACTGTGACTCATTAATTGGCCTGTGCCAATTAACTTGGTTGGCGGAGGTTCTTGATGACCAAGTTTGGTATATGTGATGGAAGGTAGTATTCTTTGAGCCCACGGCTCTGCTCATCTGTGAGTAGATTCTCCTCAAACCTTAGTTGAAGACACACCGAGATAGAGCAAAAGCAGTGAGAAATATCACAAGCACGGTAAGAAAATAATTCGTGAGTAAAGCGGGTTCTTTTATTCGAGTCTGTAGTCTCTTGAGTATTTTACTCGGGACTAGCAAGTGTAAAGTTCATTACTATAGTAGTTAATTTGCTCCTCTCGACTTGTGATTTTTTGTCTTTTGTTATCTTTCTATTCTTGTTGATTACCATGTCTTAGTGCTCCATTAATGTTGTTGTCATAGGCGGTGAATATTATTTCTGTTTTATTTTTCCAACAACGGGCCCATCTAGCTATACTTGTGCTACATTTTGAGTTTGCATTTTCAATCTATAGCTTCTGCCAATCAATATGAACTCTCTCAAAGTCAATCCTAATCACCATGTGATAATTTAGTATGCAGGAACAAAATATCCTGTCTAATTATGTACAAGTTTGATTCATGTATTCTGTTTTTTAATGAAAGTCAAGATATTGTAGCCGTTGTTCATGCTTAATGAAGCATAACTTTTTTTTCTTTGGGACCGTGTGACCGGGGATAAGCAACTATAACTCCACCTAGAAATAGATTATGCTACATTAATGTTGTGTTTGCGTAGAAAGTTGGAAGTACGTATTAAAAGTGTGTCGAATGTCCTTTCAAATTACCTGTAACTCAATCCTGATGGACGGTCTTTTTTGCATTTTACTTAGAAGCATAATATACCATTGGTCTGAGCACAACAGTTCACCTATCTCAACAAAATATCCTTTCTAACTAAATGTTTTTGTTCATTTGTCTTGTTAACGAAAGTCGGAATTATAGCCCTTGATCATTATTAATTGAGTCATAACCTTTTGCTTTTTTGGGACTGGGAGACCAATGGATACGCAACTTTGAGTCCACCTAGCAATAGCTAATGCTACATCAATTGTGTGTTTGTGCAGGAAGTTTGAAATTTATGTATTGGAAGTGTATTAGATCATACCAATGTTGCGGTCCAGTTCAAGTTGCAGCTAACAGGAAGAAGGGCTAATATGCATCATAACAAAATAAAATGATAGAAATAATGATAATGATAAATAATGATGTTAAAGTTTTCAAAGCTCCCGGATTAAAATATTTTGACCAAGAGGTAGAGGTGTTAAAAAAAATTTCTTACTAATGTTTAGTTTAACAAATGAGACATTGTTGTATCATTGAGATTTTTATGTGTTTAATATTTTAAATAAAATATCAGAAGTTATTCTGATTTAACTGATATCAAGAGAAATCAATGTTATTGTGACCATTTGAAAAAGCCTAATTTAGTAGAACATAAATTTCCTCGGATAGCCAATTACTCGTTTACAAACTAACAAGCCTACTGAGAGGCGCACAGATTTTAAGTGAGTCCCTTTTCTAGCTCACACATAGCCCTCCTTTAGGCTTTAGCACCAATTTTTGCAAATTGTTGACTTTTGATTCATACATTTATCATTCTCAAATGTCAAAGGTGAAATGAACAATATAGGGATGGGGGAACCGGGGACAGGAGCAGCGGAGCTACAGTTCTGCGTAGAGTTCAGAAGAACTCAACATCTGTATTTGTGTAAAAAATCTACTTAATATGTATGCATAATTTATCCAGAATTCAAAATAATACCTTTTTTCAAAATTTGGAATTCATAAACTTAAACTTGTTGCTGCCGGTGCTTAGTTGTGCTTCACAATCTTTAGAACTAGACTACTAGTGTGTTTAATTCTGGTATAAGTTGACAGCCAAATATAGCTGACATTATTATAATGCGAATGTCAAACTACAACAACTTAGCATTTGGTATCAATAAGATACTTTTAAGAAAATACGTCACCTTTTATATTTAGTTGTCAAAAGCTATTTTTAAGGAAAAAAGTTTTTTCCATCAAATAGGAAGAAATGATTATACCCACTTTTGGGTGGAAAACATATTCTTTCACAACTATCTCAATTATTAACTTTATATTATTATTTCAATCAACGCTTAATTAGACATGAATATCAAAGTGTGATAATTAGTTTTTGCTAATAATATCATCAATATTTTAGTAAATACTTTTTTGGAATATATTTTTCACTCCCAATCGAATACCATAAAACATTTTTAAAAAATAAGTCACTTTCCCCAAATATATTGTTTGTCATAGAAAAACCACACCCACAAATAAAGGTAATGAATACTTCTTGGTAACAAAATTTCTTTATTTACCAAAAAAAAAAAAAAAGGTAATGAATACAACTCACATAATGAATAGTAATATCATATTATTCATTAATCTCTTCTCTGTTCTTGTTACACTTGAGTCTTTTTAGCTCAACATATGCATGATAGATTGTAAAACTCTGATACACAAATTAAAGTTTAGGAAAGTTTTGATCAATACATCTATCTCTCTCCTTTTCAAGATAATGGGAGAGATACACAAGATTATATATAAGATTTTGAGAGAGGTAGAGAGAGAGCCAAAAGAGAAAAAAGAAGGGGGTAGGATAGAGAGTTCACCCATATAATTGAAGGAAGAAGAAGGTCATTTGGGTGATTAAATTTGTGAGGGGACTCAATTAGATATTTTGGCTAATTAGGAAGATGAATCCTAGTGAAATACTTGAAGGACATGCACATATTGTGTCTCTATTCGCCACTAGAAGGCCTTAGGAGTCGTTTGGTTGCCATGATGAGATAGACAATTCCATGGGATTAGCTATCCCATTTTCTATATGAGATAACTAATCCTACCATTTCAGTATAAAATGATTCCCGGGACTAATTAATAACCATAACCAAACACGGGATAAAATAATCCTGCATTTTATCCCGGAATTGTTATCCTTTATCCGACCAACCAAACGACCCTTTAGTGCTTACTGCTTAGTCCTAGGTTTAGAGCAGTTGAAGATAGTTCAGGAATGATGCAAAAAGGTCCTTATGTGTGAGGTAGGTTCAAAATAATTATTTGGTTCGCTAATTGCTTAACAAAATTGACCAATGACCATTAGATTTAAACTTTGGAAAGAAAAAAATTAATTTAACCAAAAATGACAAGAAAATCCTGTCAAATTCTAGAAACTGCACCTCGAAATATTGTACCAAACTAGAAATAGAAATACTGCTAAAACTACACCTCAAGATGTTAATTCCTGTTGCATCTTAAATATTTTTTTCACAATTTCCATGAAATGAAACAAACAAAGTTTGTTAAATATTTGCTTTGCTGGAGACAAAAAACGTTCACCTTTGATAAACATAAAGGACCAAAATTATTAAGGAGTATATTTAATTGAAGAAACTATTTTGAACCTTTCCTCAAACTTAAGGGATCAGTTTTGTCATTTTCTCTAATTTTTTTCGTATATCCTTTAACAGCTCCGGTATCTCCACTTTCTTCTTCCCGTCGACCTTCTTTTGTTGATCCTTTATGCTCTTTTTTCTATTCTCTGTGTTCTGATGTTGCTGCTCGCTACCGATTCCGTACAATTTGCTTGTTTTTGCCTTTCTGGTAAGCTTCCCCAACTTCTGTTTCTCATTACTTTGTTATTGACCTTTGGCTCTATTTTGACCAACAGAGTTTTTGTACGTGTTCAGTAGGTGAAGCAAAAAAGAAAGTTGATCTTTTTCGGTCCAATATTTATGTTTCCACATTTCTCTTCAGATATTATGTGGAGCTAAAAGGCCCACTTTTTGTTTTTCATAATTTGAATGACGAATCAGAGAAATTAGTATTTGATGTCCTACTGAAATAGGTGAAATTTCACCTTGTGCTTTGTAAATGATACATGCCATATATAGGATCACGGCGATTTTTCATACCAATTAAAATATGCCCTGCTTCACGGTGGTATAAAATAATCACAAGTGCAAATTGTCATGGCTTGTTGTCCACATTCCTATAATGCAATATGTTTTTTGAGCGTATCCCCATGTGTAGTCTAATTAATTATATTCTGTATTAAGTTTTAACTTTTAAGTATAGGAGGCATGCACATGTCTATCTTGAGTGAGTGAATTCTCATATGTTTTAGATGTTGGGTCTGTTTGATTTTCCTTTGCCTTTTGCTTGGAACTTGTCTGCACCTCAGTATTTCAGTTGAACAACATATATAGTTGATGAAAAGAATGAGTGCTTCATCACATATCCATCCTAAAATAAATATAGTTGCTTTGATGTTTTAGCAGAGCTTCACGGGTCACACTCATGTAGTACAATTACAAGAATGATGTTGAATCAAATTAAGTGAAACCCTATCAGTTGTGAGTGCCAATCTGTACTAAGAACATAAGCATTGTAGCTCACAGTAACCAATTGTCACAACATCTGTAGGGGGTTGGGTGGGGGAGCATGGGCTGGGGAAAGAGATAGCTGGACCAGGGGCCTCACGGGTGGCCTTAAGCCAAATCTTAGCAAGATACCTTAACTTTTATATAATTTATATACATAAGTTTTTTTTTTGATAAGTATAATTATATATATGAGTTTTGCTAACCTACAACATGCCTCTAGTAGCTTAGCATTGTACCAACTTCTTATTTATACAATGAAAGTGTAAATTTTCTTGTCACAACTTCTAGAAGGCAACACCTTGTGCAACAAAATAGTTCTGTTGCAAAAGTGTTGGAGGAAATATTTTACAAGCATGTAAGTTACCACAGATCCAAGATACAATAATAGTAGGAGCAGTCTGTTTATAATTTTAACCCTTTGAATAAGCAGCCGAAGTCATGGTTAATGGGTGAAATCCATGATCAAGACTAGCTTTCCACACTTTATCAATATTAAGCATCATGTCACCACATTCATGTTCATTCCAACCTTCCAATGCATGCAAAATTCCAGCTATTCTCCAGGCACTCATCACTCTTCTTGGCAGCCAATTCTAGAAAAAATCACTCATGAATTTCTTTAATTATCAAAACACGATCAAATTAATATAGAGAATTAAGAAGATTAAATGATCTTTTCTAACCTCACAAGAGCCTACATTTTCAAGATATTTTGGAGTAATCATAGCTGGTGTGTTGAAGTAGAAGCAATCTTTTCGAGCTTTTCTTGGTGGAAACTGTGAAAAGGGAATAAATAATGTTCCTTTTGGTGCTTTCAATTGTTCATCTTCTCTCAATCCATCGCCTACTAGCCATGTCTGCAGTATAATACTTCATTCAAGAATCTCTTATTAAAATATATAGACAGAAGACAGGAGATGTTTGGGGGGGGGGGGGGGGGGATTCTTTTCTATATTTGGACTTGCTAAACTCCAGAATTGTTCAAAGCTCGGCAAAAGGACAAAACTTCGGGTTAGGAGAGGAGGGAGGCGAAAGGAATTGTTATAAATTATCAAGATTTAGGTCAGTATTTTCATTGTAATTTGGTTTATACCTTTGATGAATAAGTTTTTGACAGGATTAAATTAGTTGCAGCCTCAGGGGTAAGCCTTGTTTTAAGTCTCTTGTACTCTTCTTCATCCAACATGAGAACCTATACATAAAAATTATAGTCAATGAGAAAAAGGGAAACCAAAATGATGGAGGAGAATAGTCAGAGATACCTGAATTCTTTCTTGGCACAAGGCTAGGGCAATGAAGTAAGCAACTTTGGACAAACGGCCTCGAAGGACAACTTGGGAAGTTCCATTCGGAATGGAATTTATGACCAAAGCAACAGCTAGGCTACTTCCATCTACCACCTTCACTTTCAGGTGAGGATACCTCTTTATGTAAAGTTCACCATTACTATTCAGCTGCTCTTCCTGGAAAGTTACATTTGTATTTAAAAAAGTTTACATTTGTATAAAAGCTTAAGCATTAGCTGACCCCCTCTTTGGTTCAGCCTACAAACATTTATATCAGGTGAGGCGTGAATTCTATTCAAATCTTATTCTCCGTAATAATAATATTGTAGTAGCTTAGTAAACATTTTTCGAGAAGCTTGCAAGAAA